ACTAATATTCTTTGTTTTCAAAATGAAACTGGTTTCCATTGAGAATTTCTTTTGAGAGATGTAGTGAATAACAGATGTACACCCAGGAGGTCGCACAACTTTTGTATTCCAGCAACAGAAAACAGTTATTTATAAGAATTTAATGAATGTATTCTGTGGCTCTACTGTGGAGACTCAGTAATCCATTTATTTGCCATGTTATATTTTATTTGTTCTCCAAAGGGTGTCTTGACTTTCACTTGCCTTCTTTCTCACTTAAATAAGAGTTTTCAATTAAATAGAGTTGTATTAACACTAATTCGAATCTACCTTATGCTGATACCATTATATTTTTCTGTTGTTCAGGCACTATTATTGGTGGAGCAAGTAATGTCTAGGGACATTACACCTAACTTGATAATGATGGTTTTACTAAGCCCTTATCCTGGCCAGGCCTCTGGGCATTATATAGATAATTAAAATTTGATCATAAAAAAATTTAAACACAATGCACCTTAGCAATAAAATTTTTCTACTTTTAAACATGATTGTAAAACTCATTTTAAAAATATATTTCCTTGGCCTAGTGAATTTGCTTTTTTTTTCCCAAGGATTACAGAAAGTGCATAGCAAATTCAGCCTTCAGAATACCCAGGAGCTGAAGACTCAGTAGGCTACAGCTGTCTTCACCCACAGTATTCTAAAAGAACTAATGAGATGAGAAGTCTGCAGCTGGTGGCAAGCACAATAAACCATGAGCCAAGGGCTTCTCTTCATCAGAGCCTCCCTTTTCCCCATGGGATCCCAAAGGAGACAGAATACTAACAAAGCCAGCAGGCTGTCTCATTCCACACTATTGCTCATTTGCAGCTATAATTGGTAGCTGAGGTTGCATTCTGTATGCTGAAACTGTCATACATGAAGGAATATATTTGTTCATTGTGATACGGATATAAATCAGCCGGTTTTCAAATACAGAAAGACCAAACTAGATACCCAACAATAAAATGGTAGCAAAGAAGATATAGTTCAAAAAATTAAATGTTTGTTATACAAATTGAGGTTGTTGAAACTGCACCTGCTTCATGCTTTTTAACATCTTGCTGCTTACATTCAACTGATTTAAACATTTACGTATTCAAACTAATATTTTTAAAAGCACAAAAATTCCTAGGTTTTGACAAGATACATTATCCTCACCTGTCAAGGTTAAGGGGCTACTGTTAATAATTAGGTTTTGTTACATTTTCAGGGGCCCTGGTGGCACAGTGGTTAAAGTGTTTGCTAACTGAAAGGTCTGCAGTTCGAATCCACCAGCTGCTCTGCGGGAGAAAGATATGGCAGTCTGCTTCCTTAAAGATTTACAGCCTTGGAAACCCTATGGGGCAGTTCTTCTCTGTCCTATAGGGTTGCTATAAGTTGGAATTGACTCAATGACAGTGGGTTTGGTTACATTTTCACTATAATATCCTTAGTGTTTGCTACTTTGTATTCAAGAGAAAGAAGCAGAGAAGGAAGGCTTATGTGTGTATATGTAATACATATTCACACTCACCTTATGGGAAAATCCACTTTGGTGTCCCTGGTGCCACTGCTTCTTGGTGTTTTTGCAATGTGTTTTGTTTATCTGGCATTTATGGACACCCTCTGCCTTCATCCTATGTGGAGTACTAGATCGAGCCCAGGATGGAGGCACTAAGAAGGCTTAAGTTGAAGTCCTAGGAGAGGTGAGACATGCTACCTCATTGTTTCCTCACCTGTAAAATGAGGGGCTTGGATGGTCTTTAAGGTCCAGCTCACCTCCTGAGTCTATAATTCAGAAAAGTGTCTCAGTGACCAGCTAACACTAATAATGAGGGCCCAGGAGTATATTTTATAGAACAGTATATTAGGTTCAGAGCAAAGAATTTTTGAAGTGTTCTGTTTTCTTCAATTAATTAATCTGTTACATTTTTTTAGCAGTTGCCATCAAGTCTGTTCTGACTCATGACGACCCCATGTGTGTCAGAGTAGAACTGTGTTCCATAGTGGCTGATTTTTCAGAAGCGGATTACCAGGCCTTTCTTCCAAGGTGCCTCTGGGTGAACGCAAACCTCCAACCTTTCTGTTAGCAGCCAAGCTCGTTGACTGTTTGCACCACTCAGGGACACCAGTTTGCCAAATAGATATCGACAGTCCCTGAAGATGGTGGCCTGGTATGGAGCCGGGGTTGGGAAGGAGTATTGTGGAGGAAGTCCGTCTAATCCCTCTGCTCACATTTCACCCTTACTGGTGTGGCAGCGGATGCCCTAATCATCCTTAGGCCGATCTCCTGGCACCAGCCACTCCTTAACTGATTTACCCTCACATGAAAATCCTTTATAGTGCCCAAAATTTAGACCTAGCTCTCTTTTCTTAAATGAGTTGTTTTTTGGTAAGTTTACTAACCTTACTGTATGTCATTGTTTTTATTGCTAGTGATATTTGTACACACTTTGTTTTGTGGATTTTTTTTTTTCTTTATCTCTCTTGGAGTGGGAAAGTTTAAAATCCACAGAGGTAGTTGTGCTAGCTCTATTTCATCAATTCTAAAATGCACCCCCCTCTTTTTTTCATATTTTAGTGTATCCAAAACCAGGATTTTTGTACCAGTTATGGCATGTCATAGTTTAATTGTCAGGGTTTTTTCCTTCTTAATAATACATTAAAATAATGACGTATCCTATAACTGATGCCTCTTACCTCCAGGAAATGTAATATTTACTGTTCAACCTAGGCCACTCTCCCTAATCTCTCAGATTTTGTACAAAACGTGAGTATTGTGCTCAACTGAGGTCACACCCCGGTTAGTAATAAAAAGTGGGGGGGAAACAATTTTTTTCCCTCAAATGGAATGAACTGGTGAAACACTGTTGGCTTCGATTCTGACTAGAATTCTTCCCTCTATTCTCTCTTGGCAGTTTAACATGTACTCCTGAGGGTTTTAGTTACCTTCTTTTTGTTTGCCTCTCTCCCAATTAGACTGTGACTTTTTAGGAGCCAGACCATTTGTTGGTTCTCCTTATCCTCCTCAGACTCCTTGGACTACCTCTTAACCCCTGTGCCATCTCGGCATGGTAGCTGTCAGTAAACAGATTTTGAGTGAAGGAAATGATGCAGAAAGTGATTATTTGTTATGATGTAAAGTATATTCAGTTTGGAGAAAAGTGTGCTTGTCTTTGGGTTTTAATCCCAAGCCTCTGACAGAGAGGAAAATGTTTTACAGAGTTACATGTTTATTTATGTTAGTGGAGTAGCTTATTTCTCACTGTGAATCCAGGTCTTGAGACCACCTGTGTGGTTGATCCTTTTTCTCAAAAGTTAAATTGTTAATTTTTAGGTTGTGGTTCTAAATTAGAATTTAAGAGTTCGTATTTGCTGACAGTAATTGAAGTTTTCTGCTTATGTGCCCAGACACGAGGTAACTCCAGTTGTCCAGCTTCTTGCCGTCGGGTTCATCCTGGTTCATCTAGTCGGTCTTTCCTGTATAATACTGACTGACCCAATATCTGTGGCTACACCAGACTGCGTGTTTTAAAGTAGTAAGACCTGGTGTGGTCAGCTGAGTTTGCTTGCTTAAATGATTTTAGCCCATCATTGGACCTTTTCATAGCTTTTCAGATGACCTTTAGACAGCTTCAGGTTGGGGGCCACGTATTTACCGAATTGTCTTTCTTTAACGTTTTGTTTTCTGCTTGAACCTCACATTTTTCCTTCTTTACCTACTTTATTTATAACTTTCTCTTTAGGAGTTATTACATATTACTAACATGTAATATGCTTTTTCTGACTGTTGAGTCTGGATTGGCTGCTTCTCAACGTGTTTCCTTTGATTTTTGAAAGTTTTTTTTATACTTTAGAGCCTGTTGAGTGGTTGCTTTGTGCTTGCACTGCCCTTATCTCTAGAACAGTGATTTTCAGCCAGGGTTTTATATCTGACTTGTCTAGGAGTTTTTCCCAAAGTGTATGGTCCTCCACAAATACTGCGAAAGACCTCTGGTTTCAAAAAAACTCTCTCCAGTGTCTTAAACTGACCACCTGACTCTATCCACTGTCACTGTTACAGCACATTTCTTATTTTCTTAAGTCTGGACTTTAGCTCTTTAAAAGTAATGTTTTTATTTCTATCTGTAGATTTTGTGTATGTATGTATGCACATGTGTAATAACAAAAGGACTTTTATACACTACTTTCATTTCCTCCATCTTGTCAGGAAGAGGATAATATTAAAGGAAGCAGAGAATTTAGACACTCTAGAATCCTGAATCAAACCTGAATTTTAGGGCCATTCCCTGGAAGCATGATGTAACTTAGGCAGTCGCATGACAGAATTATAAACCCGTCTCTCACCTCCTTTGACAGTGAGGGGCTGAATGGTTGTGCTTAGCTTGAGCCTGATGGTTCAGGTGTCCTGAGTGCACCTTGTCTTCCATGAGAAAGCCAAGGTTTGTGTACCCTATGGCTCCCTGGATGAGGGTTTGGAGAAGCTGGTCAGGAAATGAAGGCATGCACCACAGATCCAACCATAGAAGACATCTGACGATGAGTTGGAATTACTGGCACTGATTTGTGCTCCCAGTCACAGTAGTCACTCTCAAGCAGGCATTAATAGTCTCCTGTCATCTATGGGTATTGCCAAAACTGGGAAGGGTACATTTATTCCTCGAGTGTAATTATATATATATCAAAATGCTGAAAGTGTAAATGTTGGAAGATTTAATCTTGGAGCCAGCTTTCTAATAACCGGGCATGGTGGATTGCTAGTAAAGACTTTATTACTTCTTATTATGTAGCCATTTCACCTAAAATAAAAGTTTAAAGCAAAGAGAACCAAACTGAAAGCTTAGTGTCCTGTAGAAGCATTTTTATACTTTTATGCAAAAGCATAGTAAGCATAATCAGTTTTTGTTGTGTATTTTGGTAGCTGCAAAGAGCTGTTCTGGTTCGGTTAAAGAATTTCCTCTGGTTTTCTTCTCTACCTCTGACTTTGTTTTGCTTTGCAGGACTACAAAGCTGATGAAGACCCAGCATTATTCCAGTCAGTCAAGACCAAGAGAGGCCCTTTGGGACCCAACTGGAAGGTACTGGATGCTGACCTTTCTGACAAGCAGAGTCTTGGCAACAGAACACTTGACAGGTCCTGAGTCTTGAAGAGCTGGTGGTGTTTAAGTGAAAAATATAAATGGCACAAAAATAGTTTTATTTGCAAGAAGGACTTAGAGCCAGTTGCAGTTGGCCAGCAAGTCTGTGCTGTATTAACAAACAGAACATAGCCAGACTGTCACTTTCAGCGTAATGCGATTCAGATAACTCTTAAAAGAGACAAGTGATTTAGTCTTTTGGGATTGTCATGTACTCTTTTGAGACTTGAAGCAGCACAAAAATCCATGTTAAATGTAGGTTTATAGTTTAAGTTTACTCTTAGTAAAAACTGAATAAGTCCCTTTTACACGAGCCCATGTTTTTGGACTTGCAATAGTTATATTTTAGAAAGTAGGGCACCAGAGAGCAATTTTTGTGGCAAGTAATTATTTTTGAATAAAGAACACACTCTTACTTTATTCATGGAAGTAAGAAAAGCAGTGTCAAGGTAACAATTTCAGTTGTTACAGAAACATAGTGCATTTCAAAGGCATCCACTAAACGAAATGACAAACCCTTACAGAAAGCTTAATGTATTGATGGTAAGTTGTTACAGATAATTTGACAGAAGAGGCAAATACAAACCTGAAAACGCCCAGAGCAGATTTTTCATCGACAGGGTTTTACTTGATCACCAATCTGTTTATTCTGAAGCCAGTCACAGGTCATCTGTAAATGGTATCCAGGTGCTAGTTGTTTGCAAGTGTGGGGTTACTGTAACAGCCCCGCAAACACTCATTGAGTGGTTCTCCATGGATGTCATACTGTTTTGAGGATTGTCTTGCACATCATCTAAAATGAATAATGAACCTGACTTTGTAAGAGATGATTCACAGTTGTCTTGTTTGCACGTTTGTTCCGTGGGTAGAGTTCAGTTCAGAATTCTCCCCATTTAATGGCCATAACTGGAGGCTTTTAACTTAATGCCCAGAAAGTGGTATCTGTCACTTATAAAGGATCAGTAGGCATCATCCTAAATTTGCTTTAATGGATTTAAAACGTCTCCCCACCCTTTTCCAGATTTCTAGCTGTGGACTTCAGTACTTGCTCTAAGTCAGAGTGGAAGCCTTTCTCCTTTGAGATTTAATGTTGGCTTTCTGAAAGAGAACACCATGGTAGAAGAGAGTCAGGAGGCTGCTTCTAAGGTTGCCTTAACTTGTAGAAGGACACCTTGCCAAAAAGTAGTCACTCTCTAGCTGATGATACTTGGACAGGCAATAGAAGGGTATGAGGTTGAGACTGAGTTGATTCCGACTCATGGCGACCCTGTAGGACACAGTAGAACTGCCCCATAGGGTTTCCCAGGCTGTAATCTTTATAGAAGCAGACTACCACATCTTTCTTCCATGGAGCAGCTGGTGGGTTCGAACCGCCTACCTGTCGGTTAGTAGGTGAGCACTTAACCACTGCACCACCAGAGCTGTATTAAATATTGGATTTCCTTCATATTGTCAGTTTTTCAGATATAAACTTTAAAAAACCAAAAAACCCAAACCCATTGCCGTTAAGTCGATTCCGACTCATAACGACCCATACGACAGGGTAGAACTGCCCCATAGGGTTTCCAGGGAGCGACTGGTGGATTCGAACTGCCCACCTTTTGGTTAGCAGCTGAGTCTTAACCACTGTGCCACCAGGGCTCCAGACATTAAAAAGCAGTGTTATATTACATGGAAATGACTATTGTATTTAGACTCAGATCTCTCCTCCTAGAAACTCCTGTAACAGCCAGCAAGGGTATTTTGATACTCTCTGACTTTTATTTGATATTTGATAGCCAGCCTTTCAGGAACTTGGAATATATGTTTATGATTTTATTTTTGGAACTAACATTGCTCTGTCTTTTATTATTGATTTTTAATGACTTAAAATTCTAGAATGGGTTTAGTTTTTAGAAATAATGTGAACTTCACATCTTTTTCTTGGTTCCCCCCATTTTTGTGTGTGTATATTAAATGCTAGCTTATAATTTTTCTGATAGAATGCTGGCTAGTACTGATACCTTTGTACCTATTTGCCTGGTGGTATTTTACTTTTTGCCAAATGATGGTGGGTGTGGCTACTCTTACAAATTGAGTTACTGCTTAGCTGTTGAGGGCAGTGGCGGTTCACTGGTAGAATTTTTGCCTTCCACGCAGGACACCTGGGTTCGATTCCCAGCCAGTGCCCCTCAGGTGCAGCCACCATCCATCTTGTCAGTGGAGGCTTGTGTGTTGCTGTGATGCTGAAAAGGTTTCCACAGAGCTTCAGACTAAGACAGACTAGGAAGAAAGGCCTGGCAGTCCGCATCTGAAAATCAGCCCGTGAAAACCCTGTAAGTCACAATGGTCTGATCCCGTTGTGCATGGGGTCACCTTGAGTTGGGGCCTGACTCAACAGCAGCTAACAACAACTGCTTAACTGAATTTCATTGAATTACTATAACTAGGGTAAATAGGGTAGAAATAACTATGGTAATAAATAGGGTAATAATTAGGGTAATCAAGAATAATTAAACCATCCACTTACTGCTGTGAAGGAAAATGAAGAGTAAGGATGATGGTAGCTGTTAATAACATACAGAAAAATAGGAATCTACGGACTCGATCTTAACAGCACCCCTTGTAAATGTGTTAGCAGGCCATATTTGTAAATAAATATCCTTATCATGGCACTGGTAGCACTGGGAAAGGATGATAGTTGGAGATTTCTGTACTTTTGAAATATGAGAATAAGGAAGAAATACATGGTAATTGTGGCAAAAAAGGAAGAAGCTATCCTGTTCTGGACACACTTGCCCAGGGTTGTGTGTAAGGATGCACCTGTGTAAGTGCTGCCTGTCATTCCACAGCCTCAGAAGGCCTTTTGTGAGCTCTCCCCCCTTGCCCTTCAGTCTCAGTTTCCATTGCTCCTCTGCAGAAACCCACCTCGCCAGTACAAACTCTGAGGTATATTCAAGGCTAATTGCCAAATCCCACGACCTCCTTGAAACTTTTCCTTGCTTATCCCACAGTGTTGTTTTCCTTCTGAATTATTGCAGTATTTACTGTCTGTCTGTATCAGACTGGATAGGGGAAAATAAACTTTTCCTTGCTGCCAGGCACTGTACAAAGTCACAGTTAATTGTCACCATCTTCCCCTGGGGTAAGTAGAGACACTTCATTTTATAGATGCGAAACTTAATCGGAGAAACGTAGATAATAGTTGCAGGAGAAACAGCATGATGTCCACCGTTTTTTAGCACCCAGCTAATGCTAGTCACAGATATGTAAGGTGTGGAGATGTAGCAGATTGTTACTCTTAGTCCACTGATCTGTACCTTTTATGCCCTGTTGTATTAAGAGTTGTGTGGCTCTCTGCATTCATGATATTTGACAGAGTTTAATAATTCCCGTTATTTACAGTGATACATTTCCAGTGGTCAGGGAATCCGTAGGTGACAGTGGCACTAAGGTTGATGCATTAAAAATCGCTTGTGACTGTCATACCAAACCAAAACCAAACCCGTTGCCATCAAGTTGATTCTGACTCATAGCGACTATATAGAACACGGTAGAACTGCCCCATAGTTTCCATGGCTGTCATCTTTACGGGAGCAGACTGCCAACATCTTTCTCCCACGGAGCGACTGGTGAGTTTGAACGACCAACTTTTCAGTTAGCAGCCGGGCGCTTAACCACTGCATCACCAGGGCTCCCTTGACTGTCATACGGTGTGACTTAAGTAACTTTTAACCCCTCTGAGCCTCAGTTTCCACATCTTTAAAATGGGAATGATACTAGTAACTACGTCAGAAGGTGATTGTGAGGAATAAATGTTCCCAACACCGAGGAAGTGCACCGTAAATGTTAGCTCTTGTTGTAATCATTCTTTTGTCTAAATTCCTTTGAAAGTAAAAAAGAATTTTCAGCCTTCATCATTTCTTGGGGTTGATGAGATCTATACATATGTGACCTTATTTATGACACAGCTATTACTTATCTCTGTCTAGTGTCCAGGGATTCCCCTTCTTCTAGTATCTGGGGATTGCTAAACACGTCTAGGTTCACTTGTCCTGAACTGTTGTGGTATTTTTAATGAGTGCTTGAGTTACGTAGATCCACCATAAAGCCTTCACTGGCAGAGGTGATAGACTTACTAAGGAATTTTTACATTTTCCACATTTTTAGGGGCATGAACCTTTTTTAGCTTATAGTATGATTTAAAAAACCAAACCCATTGCCGTCGAGTCAATTCTGACTCTGATACATACCTTTTTTTTTTTTTTAAAACCCAAACTCTCCCTCTGAAGAATTTTTGAAATCTGAGCACGTGAATTATAATGTTATATTTAGGGTTCAGCACTTTATCAACTGACTGCATGGTGATAGGAGAGCAATTTAGAACCTGACTAGGATTTTTGCTTCAAGGTAGAAGTATGCCTGTCTCATGGATGTAAATGTCTTGCTTCTTTGTGTCACTGTGTGTGTGTGTGTGTGTGTGTGTGTGTACACGTGTGTACATGTTTTCATTTTGTGTTTTTGTGGGCTTTGTGTGTGTTGTGACATTGGTATGACTCACTGTTCTAATGGTTTATCAGAAACATTTTACACATGGATTCCCTTAGCTTTTCAGATTGGCCTCCTCTGATCTGGATGAGAAGTTGTCATTTTAACAAATTGGAACACTACCTTTGAAGATTATGGTGTCATTTTTATCCTGTGGCAAGGCCTCATTTCTTTCTTCATTTAAGCCAGATGCCTTGTGAATACTTAAGCTTCCGTGTCTACATATGTACAACAGTTAAAAATGAGGCCTGTAAAGGTCTTTGTAGGAGGCTTTGCCAAAGCCCGTACCTTACAGTGCTGGATGTGCCTCTAGAGTCTCTGCCAGGGCTCTGAATATTTGGATGTAAGGTGATCAGGTTGAATAAAGAAGTTGATCTAGAAATTGTGGTGGTTTTGTATTATCTGTATAAATA